TCTAACTCCCATTTAAAATGCCAACCGTTGACATTTAAACTTCAAAATTAAATATTACGATCCTTACATAGACAAACAAATAAAAAGAGACTGGCAAATTAAATGGCAAAGAGAGGGACAACGTTCCCGTAGCGCAACTCAGAACGCAAAATTTCGTTGTATTTATGTTGATCTGCGCATTGCATCTATTGGGCCCACTATCTTATTCTAATATAAACAAGAGAGAAAGAAGCAGCCATATAAAACGTAATTTCTAAATAGAAATTAGAACAATCGCCTTTCGTTTTCGTCACCATGACAACCAAGATGACAACATCATGACAATTCGTCATGTTTGTTAATTTTTCTTTTCGTGATTTACCTTTTTTTCCAAACTCTCCATTTTATTGACTTATGAATATGGATAGGGAACAAATTCCTATGTTAAAGACACCCGGTAAAATAAAAGTAAGTAGTTATATTTATCATCTTATTAAGAAAAAAGTAGAAGTAGTAGTGTCAAAAATATTTCGAACCTCTCATAACATAACAAATTAATACAATTAATTTTTTCATTTTTTGGGTAGGTAGTTTATAGCTGGTTTATAGTAACCATAAACTTTATTAATATACCTATTTTATTTTTGTTTTAGGATTAAAACTGGACTTGAAAATGGTTCAGGATCATGATTCTCGTAAAGTCTTCTTTGCTTGGATATTCACTTTGTCATTCGAATTAGGCAGTTTTTTCGAAATTGAGATTTTTAATGCCATTTAAAAAAATTGGCCGATCGTTTCCTGCAGTAGTCAGTTCTTCTGCATTTAAAATTGGTAGGTGGGTGGAATAAACACTGTTATTTTTTGTTATTATATTATAAAAAGTTTATTTATTTTTTGTATAAATAAATATGTTCATAAAACAGTACATTTTTTGCTTTTTTTTTATAATATCCCTTATAATAGTAGTATTCTTTCGTTCTGAAAGAAACTGCAAATTTTCACTTAAACTGATTTATTTCCTACACCACGTTCCCT